ATCACTTCCAATAAAAGAGAGCCTGGCACAGGCAAAGGATAGCAGGCCAGGATGGAGGGGTATTTGGGACCAGGTATAGGGAAGTAGTGTGAGCCCTTACCTATTAGTTTTATTGTGTGAGTTGGTATTTGTCAATATGCTTGATATTACAGGGTTAATGCCAAAAGCCAGTAGATGGCAGAAACCCACCAGCTTTTAAACCATTTTGTGCTAGCTACTTTTGTGAATTATGATCAAAGACAGAAAATAAGTAATTTTAAACTGATTCTAGCATCAATGTGTGGCTAAAAAAGTTACTCCGATGTCTCCCAGAAAGCTGAAAATAATTTTTTGAGAGTTTCAAATTTCAATCTTTTTTGGGGGGAGTATATGCCCCAGACCCCCACAAGAGGGGCGTGTTACTTTGAAACACGCTATGCATGCCACCCTGACATAATTCAATTCAACAGCCTGTTCTGTTTAGATCATAGATCTATTATATTTTCTAATGACAACCTTGTATTACCAGATGCAAGTCAAATAATCTGTGTTGATTGCCAGGCAGTAGGGATGAAATGCAATGCAAGAAACTCTGCAGCTGTGGCAGAAGCAATTGAGTTATGCTTTTTTGTATTGCATGGTATAGGATCTTACAAACTTGTCACAGCTGCCATGTTTAGAGTCTCTGAGTTTGAAAGACCCTGTGTATGGACCCAACCCGGTGGCTTTAATGTGCAACTACTCAACACACCTCCTCTATCACCTTCCAAACCTTAAAAGAGTGGACTCCTATAATGTGGACGATAAAACACTGAAGGAACTGGCTGAGGTATGTCAACCAAGAGGAGGGGGGAGGGAGGCATTGGGGCCTCTGGGAAACCGCAAAACCGGAGAAAAAAACCTCCAAAACCGAAAAACCGACGAAAAACGGCAGCAAAACCGAAAACCGCATGCAAACCTGACAAAACCGCTACATTTTCACCTTAAAGGGGTTAAAAAGGAAAAACCGAAAACCGCATCAGAGTGTTCGTGTAAACCGAAAACTGAATGCAAGAACACGTAAAATCCGCAAACCGCTCTGAACGTCAAAACCGAAAAACCGAAAAACCGAACCTTTTTGGCCCAAAAACCTCAAAACCGATCCAAAAAACAGTCAAAACCTCAAAACCGAAAATCCCAAAGCCCCCCCTCCAAGAGTGCTGTTTGACGTTATCCACCAGACTTACCCAATCACTTCTATGGTCTTCCCATCTGTTACGTTTTTTAAGTTCATCTGATATAAATTTTACATGGAAATAGCGTTACAAGAGCAAAAGTAAAGAGGATCACTAAAGCTTTGGTTATACACCTTCATCCATAACCAAATCACCTGGGCTTTTACTTTCTTTCGTTATCTGCATGCCTTTGATTTACGTGCAAACTGTGGGAGGGTCGAGGTTATGGATTTTGCTATGTTGTCAACTCAGAGCCTTCTGGCCTTCTTTAATGTTCCTCCCCCTGGGGTAAGTTTTGAGACGAGTTGAGGGGAGGTTTTTCCAGGGGTCTGGCACTAAGAATCAGTTCTAGACCCCTCGCAGACCTCTCACGGGCTCGCGTGGCTCAAGGCTTCATATTTTCCCGCGGGAGAAAAATCCCTCGTGTCGAAGCGCTTTTAATGAAGGACTGCTCAAAAGCTTTTGAACAGAAAGAACTTTTTGTTAGGTGTCATGTGACCCCAAAGTAAGTAATGAGAACATGCGCTGTTGGAGAAAAATATCAGCTATATGGCAATATTAATTACAAGTATGTTTGGTATGGCCCATCTGGCAGCTTTCGTCTCTTATATTGTATCCTCTTTCAGACCACAGTGATTAAGAAGAAGATGTATTACAACATGCGCGTGAAGACACTGCAGAGGAATAAGGCTGACTTGCTTTTCAGACTGGAGACTGAGAGGGCAGCACTTCAGGCTAACCCCAGGAACAGAATATTTAAACTATTTTCAGCCGTCAAAGATGTATGTTTTCAATGATATATAAGCAATTTATAAAAGAAGTGATCAATTTAGTGTCGAAAGTAATCCGGGATTGCCTTGTTTTTGCTTTACTTCGCTCTGTGATTGGTCCAGAAAAAAACTCGCTCCACTCTCTGAACCAATCAGATGCAAAACTAAAACCAATCATGACGTAATCGCCCGCGTTTTCCCGCGCTTTAAACTCGTGCCACTCACAACCAATCAGATGCAAAACTAGTACCAATCATGACTTGGCCACCCGGGTTTTCGCGCGCTTTTGGCAGTTCAGTTGTTTGTATTGTAAGTTCCATTTTTCTGATTGGCCGTTGTGATTACTTTCGATTGGTTTTCGTTTTTCGATACTCAATCGAGAAGCGCGCATTCAAAGGAAACAAAAAGTGACGAGGGTCGTTATTTTACTCATTCTTTCATCGCAGATAGAGAGAGAGGTTGAGGAACAAAGAGAAGGATTGTCTTCATCTTTCAAAGAGAACAAAAACCCTATAAGTCCTGTTGTTGGGGATGAAGGAAAGAAAGAAAACATGGAAGAAAAAGGAAGCATGGCAGCTGATACAATGATGATCTCACAGAAGCTGCAAAAGAAGAAGGAAGCACTTCTTAAAAGAATTGCCAAATTACAGAAACAGTGCGAAGAGTAAGAACTGATCTTAGATCTGAATAGTATTTCTCCCAACTAGCTCCGTGCGATTCCTTATAAATTAGTGAGAAGAATTTACAGAGCTCTTCTTTTTTTTTTCTTTCAGAATTAATCAGTGCCATCAGGAGAGTTGTGAACAAGTCAATAATGTGTCCGAGATGACAGTTCAGCGGCTTTTGTTGGAGTTGGAGACTGGAGGAAATGTCCGCTTTGAAGACGGCAAACAAACAGATCCTTGGTACCAAACTATTTTACCGTCTAAATCATGAATAGCAATGAACGAGGAACCTAGGAATCGCTAACACAGCGCTCAAGCATCGGCACATGTGCAAACATTGTATTGACTAAAAAAAGCAAAAAAAAAAGTGCGCGTGAACACAGGAGAAGTTTTATGCACAACAGTATTTCCATAGTAACAATACCGAGATGAAATGGCGGTAGGTTTAAAATTCCCATTTTTTGTTTTCATTACACGGGAATAAGCCCAAACCAAAACAGATAAGGCTGCCGTTTTCAGGAGAGTTTCCGCCGAACGTCCTCCGTCACATATCCTACACAACCAAAAAAATAGTGTGGTAACAGCTGTGAATTTAGCTATTGAAGTACAGCATCCGTAACATGGTGGTTGGAGTTAGGTTAGTGGAGCATGCACACTCTTTTTGCTGCTGTGGCATGACTATTTAGCGTGCTGTCAGGCTGTGTTGATATATCCAAATTATTTCGTTACTCCCACCGACGCAGCCCCAAACAGTTTCTTTCGAAACTATCAGCCTTTATTCATTTGACTTTCTTCCAGTTCTCTGTCTGTTTTTTTTTATGACTTTTTGAAATTTTACTGAGCAGTTTAAAAACTTTAGTTAATTTCCTGCAAAGACTGCACTTTGGGCAACGAGAGATTAGTGCGTCATCGAGATCTGATCGGATGAGCGATAAAGCCAATCATTGTAGTCCGTCAATGAAAATGCGCTCCGAAGCGTGCGCCAAAGTTCTTGTCAAAACTTTCATAAATATGTAAATAAACTTTTTTTCTTCAGGGTCTCGAGTCTTGTGTTCATTTGGAGGAGCTTTCTGTCGAAAACAACTGTATCAACAAATTTGAAGGTAAAGTTCAGTGTTTGTCAAACATGTCTTCTCCCGTATTAGATGCAATCAGCATCAAATACAGCGTTGGGTAAAGGTTCAGTAGGTCAATCAGTGTTAATGCTCTTTTCTAAGACACGGAACAAACCAATCGCAGCCCATGTTAGATCAATTTCTTTGGGTTTCTGTAAGGGTTAAGCAAGCAGTCCAAGTTAACATGGCTAAGTCTGGCTGGAAATCAACTCACTTCTCTCGACTCCGGAATGTTGGAGAAACTTCCTCAATTGAGATATTTATCAGTGGAAAACAACGCCATATCTAACCTTCGTGGCTTACAGGTATGTACAGTATTATCATCACTGAAAGATGCATTACGGCTTGTCATTAATTTTAAATCGAGATTTTAAAGAGATTGATTTTCTTAAAAAATGAAGCCTAAGACTTTCTAATTTGTTTTTTTTTTTTTGCAATATATCTACCTTTCCAGAATTGTCACAGCCTCCAGGAGCTTTACATAGGAAACAACAAACTGGCGAACATACGGGAGGTTTTTAATCTAAAGGTAAAGAAGGAATGATCCCTATGAGTGACCAGCATCCAATTTCTCCTTACAATATCACCCTTGAGTCACATATTGGGCCTATGAGAATAAAGGAAACGATCAACAACTAAACCGTTGACTGTTAAAGGGATTCTCCACTGTTTTCGAAAGTAGCGCTTAAAATGCTCTCTAAGTGTCCAAAAGTAGATTTTTCGGACAGAAAAATGTTCTCTCCCCTTAGATTTTTTGTTTTGGCCTCTCAAAAGAGGCCTTCATGACCAGTTCGAACGTCCCGCGATCGCCATCTTGATCGGCGCGCAAGGCTCTCTGGGGTGATGACGTAAAATGGTTGCTCGACTCCTTTGCCCTCGGCAAAATTGGTAGCA